GAGGTGTGAGCAACTCGCCTTCGGCCATGCATGTGTAGTGTACGCTGTGTATATCAATGAGTGCTCGTTACCATGTAATGGTATATCTGGAGGCCGTATACATGTAGACAGGCGGAATCCGTGAGTGTAGCGTGAAGGTCGGTTGGGACAGAGCCAATCCGTGTCAGCATAATTTGCACAATTGATGCTAGCTTGACACGATATATGTCTGCTCTTTTCTGATCAATTTGTGTCCCCCCCATAAATTATAGTAATTGTACCGGTTACAGAGTTACTGCACAACTACCCAAGTCACAGGTTAGTACATGAATTACAGTTAGGAATACTGTAAGAATTACGAGACGGATACAGTGTTCTCGGTGTTTGAGCGAGAGCGTAGGTCAAACAACTGTTTATTCACCTGATACAATGTTCTACAACATACGGTGAGTGAGTGAAACATCAGTACTTCAGTGTTTGAGCGCGAGAGCGTAGGTCATACAACTGAGGAAGATCGAGGGAAGAGATACCTATAATCTAATAATAGACCGCGCGAATAGTGAACAAAAGATGTCTTGCATCCTGGAAATAATCGCAAATAAAAATAAGGCTTATATAGTCACATCCAGGTTACTACGGTTGCTACTCTAACAGATACGGGTATCATTGGTCAAGGCCGGATAGATATTACATAGCTGTGAGCTTGCTGGCTGTCCATACAGGCAAGTGTTCAAAGCAGTAATACCATCCATCAACAACAGGTCCCGGATATACCATCCACGATTAGCCTCACAACTTTGCCTTTGCTTTATTCCGCTTCTCCCACTCCTTGGCGAGCTGCTTTCGGATTTCCTTCTTCAGCGTCTTTCCGGCCGGATTACGTTCTGATTTTGAGGTGAGATACATCCTTGAGCAACGCCAGGGGCAACGCTTACCTATGGGCTTCGTCTGAATCACGAGAAGAGACGGGACAGCAAACGAAGGGAGCCTATGGGAAAAAAAAAAGGATTTGTTAGATTTGCGGCTCGAGGCAACGGACGGTGCAATCTTAAATGACACGTCGCGTCCGTAACGCGCCGACCAGGTTTGTCTACGACAACTAGCACTGAGCACTGACCTGACTTTGACTGTCTCCAATATTGCTTCCTCTGTCAGCTTTCCTCGCCACTCCATCCGTGGAACGACGAGGGCACCGACGAGCTCGCCCATTCGTTTATCTGGAATACCGACAACGGCGCATTCTAGGATTCGAGAGTCGGCGAATAAAGCATTCTCTACAGTAACGGAATGCTGTTTCATATGCCATACTCGGTCAATACAAGGATGAACAATGTAGAGCTTAGACCTACGATATTTTCGCCCCCTCTATCCGTTGCAACCACGAAAGCAGCAAGTAAGAAAAGGGACACTAGTACCGAGGTGATGGCCCATACCGGATGATCATATCTTTGACTACAGATACTCTCTTCAGTTTCTGGAATAAATCACACAACTGGTGGCGCAATATACCTCTGTCCTTGATATATACGAACCCTTCTTCATCTATGCTCGCAAGGTCCCCAGATTTTAGCCACCCGTCGCGCGTGATGGTCTCATCCGTAGCTTTCGGGTTGTTATAGTACCCACGCATCAAGTTTGGTCCCCGGCTATATAGGAGAGTGCATTGAATATATACCGAGGTGCATCTGTGGACTGAAGACGCACATCCACAACTCCCCAATTTGACCCGGGGGCAGCACCTTATTAGTGCGCGGATCTACTATAAGGAGGTCCACCACTGGGGGAGGTAGACCACTGATGAAAGCAAAAACAAGAGTGATGAGTGGCAACTCATGGCATATCTGAACCGTATGCTGAGCACCGGCGAGTGGGTGAAAACGACTGACGTGCTGCTAGGCCTCACAAAATAGTCTTCGCCTATCCAGCAGCGAAAAATTAATATCATTGGCGCAGTCGACAGAAAAACGGCCAACACTTACCCACGATTTGTACCGCAATAGAATTCGTCTCTGACAAACCATACCCTTGTTGACTACAGCAGTGCGGAATCAGAGCACGCAACGTCGGAATATACATGGGTCAGATCGTGTGAGACAACGTCAAAAAAAATGTGTTGGACGCACACGGTGGCGTTTGGAAACTTCTGGATAATCTCTGAAGCTAGAGAATCAGCTGCAGGGGCACCGCCAGTGCCGAGCGCTTCGATTCGTGCGTTACCTGGCGACAACGGAATGTGCGTCAGCGACAATCTAAGCTCTTCAAAATCCCAACGACTGTAGCAAGCAGGATGGGTAAAGTCTAGCAAGCATGGCAACAGAATCCACGGTGAAGTATGAATACTACATACCAACAGCATCTGTCTCAAAGAGGTCGTAAACTATGCTTGGGACTCCCACGGAGGATGTGATGTGTTCCTCGCGGATGAGTTTTGCAGCTGAAACCGGATGGTTTAATTGTTAAGATACTGTACGCCGAAGATTTACAAGAGCGAGGATGACACATACCTAACTGCTTGTCCCACTGTATCATAACCGTGTAAAGAAAGCGATCGACAGCTGTGAAGCAGAAGTAAACTTACCTTGCGCATCAACACAAGCTTGTTGCCGAGGGCAGTTGAGACCACCTGGTGTTCTCAGAGATTAATGGACGACGGTGTGTTAGAACCAGGGTCCTTTTCTCACCATTTGACTCGTGCAAGCAGTCACATGAAATAGTGGAACCGCGACCAGGGCGGCAAGCGCCTTTGCCTCTTGAGGTGGTCCCTGGCCTATCGGTGGGGGTACTGCGCAGTAGTTGGTGAGGTATAGTCTCTGGCTATATTTGAGAAAGTCTACTGACGATCAGTACCCCTTCTAAGTTCTGCCCGGCGGGCTCCGATCATAGTATTGAAGCAATTGCCAAGAAAGCTGCGTTGAGTCGACAGAACGCCCTTGGGCAAGCCAGTCGTTCCCGACGTGAAAAAAATCTGGGCTTTTGGCTTGGTAAGGGGTTCTGAAGTAGTCTGATTCGGCTCACCGTAGCGTTGTCGTCTGGTAGGCATTCAGGCTCCTTCTCGTAGGCGGTATTCGAGCCGGTATACGAAGTCATGACACTTGACCATTCTTTTACACGAGAACCGGCTAAAAGCTTCGAAGACGAGGGCCGTACAAGGATCACAGACGTTTGTAGAGGTAAGTGCGAACTCAGAAGCTTCAAACGCTCTGAATCTAGAATGAGCACTTTAGGAGTTGTCAGATTGATGCAATGCATGAATGGTTCGATTGGCAACCATGCATTGAAGGCCGTTGGAACAGCACCCTGTGAAGAGATATACATCAGAGGTTATATAGAGAATATCGAGAGCAAGTACCAGGATTCCTGCTGCCCAAAAAGCAATGACCCATTCCGGATAATTGCGCGTGGCAATGCCAATCCTATCGCCTTTTCTGACGCCATAAACCTTGGATTGGCGTGTCAATTACTGTCCGAGTGGGGAGAGCGATGCACTCGTACCTCACGTAGCGCACTGGCCAGGCGCTGCACCATAACATCGGCCTGCCCAAAAGTTATACGGGTTTCCTCAAACACGAGGTATTCGTTGTTATGTATGTCGGGTTTTTGAGAAACAGAATCCTTCCAAAATGCTCGGATTGAACCCCAGAGGTGCTTATATACTCTGTAAACACGATTGTCGATGACAGCGTGCTCCATCTCGTGGATTTGGCCCGGGGCGGTCATGATAGCAGTGCCTTCGTCAACTCAGGATCATCTGGCTGGTAGACGAATGGAAATGTAAGTCTCACATTCTTGGAGAGACCTCGCGGGTTTCCAGTTGGTATAGGACATGGCAGGAATAAGTATACGGTACTGTGAGAGTGGAGGCTGGCCATACTTATACGCAGCGTCCGGGTCAGAGTAACCGTGTGTCCGGTGATTGCCATCACGTGATGGCTCGCAAGTACCAAAGCAACCCAGCCTAAAATAAGCATAAGTCGCCGAAACGGCGGTGGACAGGCGGTCTTATCCCTGTGATAGTAGGACCAATTACTACTCTAAAAGGTACCGATAGCCCGGTACTGTACCCGATATTTGTTGTAAACAATAAGGCTGGAGCATACTGATTTCCAACAATCACCTGTGTTTGTATTTGAATGTTTTCTGATGATGACATGATGGCTTTTCCGCCGTCTTTAAAAATGTAGTACACCTGAAGGCAGGCCACAGTTGATTGGGCCGTATGGAGGTTGGGGTCTGAATACCGTCGGCTCTGCTCACCCACATCGTGCCACGCATGCAGCGAAGCCGTCGGTCTGTTGGTTGCGAGGGCCAGGACACGGACGCGCGACTATGGACTGCTGTGCATGGGCGTATGGCTTCTTGCGTGTTGATGGTGCCGGGGATCGCTGGTGCTGCCGATCTCGGCACTGCCACAACTAGGCCCGCCACTGCCACCCACCGACGCTCCGCGCTGCACATCATTTGTCTGCTTCCCTGCCTGTGTCGCTAATGGTCCGTCTCCGCTAATATGCCGCTGATGGCACGACCCCCTCAGGCCTCTCATTCCGTTGCGCGAAGGCTCTATTTTTTTGTTCCGGGAATCTTGAAAGTCATACAGTTTTTGTATAAAAATAGGGGGAATATCAGTATGTCCTTGCGGAAACCTAATGAGTTTGCGCATGCGCAACCGAGGTACGAGCTTATCACGTGGCGGATTGCAGGCAAGCGTCTGATACACTTGCTCTACACGCCCAGAGTTCCGCGCGCACGTCTCGGAGATCACGCCTTATAACCAAGTTGGTGCTCGGTTGCCCCGCACCTCGCGTAAACCGCAAGCTGCGACCCTGCTAACCGAGCTATGGACCCGCAGGTTTTCGCTCCCCCTCCCTTCCCTGCCCTTCCCTGCCCTTCCCTGCCCAGCACACTGCTTTTGCATTGCCACGTGCAGCCAGGCTCCCGGACAATTTTCCAGACCGAACAGGCTCGCAGGGCGCCTTTAAGTTTTCGCATGCGGAGAAGCAAACCAGTAACGCGCAAAAAACATTTGGACGCTCTGGGAATCGAACCCAGGACCGTTCGCAGCTGTATGGTGGACTGCTAAGCGAACGTTATACCCCTAAACCAAGCGCCCTTAACGAAACAGTCCTCAACGATAGTTCATATTCCTGAGCACTCTAGTGTGCGGACTACTTTTTGACCTTCTTCCCGTCATACACCCCACTCTGCTTGGGCCCCCTTGACGCATAAACATCCTCCTCCTCGTCCGCTCCCTTATCAAGGGTGGTGGAGCTGTAGAAGATGTTAGCTCAAGAGCTGTCCGGCATGCAAACACTCACCTGTTAACTTCAGTCTGCTGCTTATCAAGAGACGACGGAGACTGCGCCTCAACTTGGAGCTTAGCCGAATCCTCGCTTGCCGCGGCAAAGGTGGAATCGTCTCTGCGTGCCACCGACCTTGAGCCTGACACCATGGCAGAAACATCCTACTCACTTTGTCTCGGAGGTACGGCTGCTGTCCGAGCTTTTAGATGACATGCTCATGTGTTATGTGGTGGTGGGTGATGCGAGAGCTGGAGAAAGCGACGAAACGCAGGCATTAAATACTATCTACTGTAGCTATACGCGCGCTTGGCATGCACGTGAACAACTCTAAACACAACCTGTGCCTGTTATGGACCTTATATCCTTTGGTCATGAGGTTACATATGTATCCGGCCCTTTCCTGGATGCATAGCACGCTCATAAAATTCACTGAGTCACATCCACCGCCTGGCGATGTTCGTCTGAAGGCCAAACTGTATTAATAAAGGATAGCAATGCAGCCTTCTAGTTTTCTGACCTAGAAAGCCATGGCGCCAACATGCAGTGCCATACACAGGTCAGAATACTAATGATTGCACCGATTAACGGCACCCTTCTGATAGATAGACATGGCCACTTGCCAAAGTGCGTCTTGGCAGACATGCTGTGGTTGAAAATTTTTCGGCGTACTGCACCATTCATGTATCACTTACCCAAACTGCTGCCAGCGCGACTGCAACGTTCGGAACAGTGGTCACGTGACCGTGACTGTCGCGGTGTCGTGACTGCACTAGACGCGTCCTGCCGCTACCATGGTGGAAGCTGCTCCCGCCCACTCTCCTGAGCTTGAGCGCACCCTATCGCTCCAGAAAGAGCTTGAATCTGCCGAACTCACCATCACTGACCTCAAGCGGCAGTTCTGCCAGAAGGATTTCTCCGGTCTCACCGACTCCGCATTGTCAAGCTACCCTACTAACCCGCAAATTGTCGCCCCAGACGTCATCGCCCAGCAAGTGATTGCCTTTTACTTGTGTTATTCGCATCGTATCTCTGGCTGACTCTCGGACCCCGGTAGTCGTTTCTCAGGAAGCTGAAGTTCCATTACATCGAACAGCATGCCAAGGACAAGTATGTCAAGTTCATTGTCAGCCCAGACGAGCCAGGGATCGACGCAGAAAGTAATGAACAACTGAGTGCGTCCATTGCGTTTTTGAAGATATGTTTCACGTGATAGACGCCTCGTGACAATTGCCAGGGGAGACCAACGAGGAACGAAAACAGCTTCTGAAGGAGGACAAGGTTCGCCTTGCAGAGACATACGAAAAGATAAGACAGAAGGCGCGCCTCGTTGAACAGGGTCAGTGATCCAAGTCGGTGACGGTAAACCCATCATACTTAGCGGAATCCATTCGCAGCTCACGATCGTGCGCAGTCTTTGACGAAGGAGACTGCCACCCTGACAAAACAGATCCTCGACGCTCGTCTCGCTCTTACGCGTCTGCACGCTGCACATCCAGCCCCACGCCTGACACTTACCGCAGCAAGAGAGATCGCCGATGAACAAGAAGAACAAATGGTAACCTTGGATGCAACACTACTCGAACTCAACGAGCGCGCCACAGAGATGAAAGACCGCGTCAAGGCGAGTGTGAAGGACGTGGAGCGGCTGAAGGTGGAACGTGCCGCGAAGGAAGAAGAACTGAAACGCACACAGCGTCTTGAAGAAGACAATCGCTGGCCTGCACTGCATGATTGGTGCGAGCCATCCTCCCTTTCATCCCTTTTCGTCAAACATCTCACCTCGCGCATTTGTGAAGGTACTCGGCCGCGGTAGCCTTACACACATCACTAATGTCACTTGACAAGTTCGAGACACCTGCCGACAATGAACTTCGGCTCACGTATTCTCTCCCCAAGAGTCGCAAAGCAACTATTGCTCTTCTGTTTATGCCTAACACAAGGCAGATCGCACAGGCGCATCTCATTGACTCGGATACGGATATTGACATTCAGGAACTTGTCGGAGTGCATTCCGCATGTAATGATGTTCCAGGCCTCGTAAGAGCTATTTTAGCCAGACTACGGGCAGAAATCTAGTGCATGTATGTTATTTTGTGATGGAGTGGTAAGGCGTACATGTCTTGACTTTTTAATTATGCCTCAAGTAACAAAAGTTGATAAACAGTAGTACTGACCAAGGGCTAGAACGTCCAAAGTTCACTGACCACGTCGGCCCCTACGACATGGATTTCAACTTCGGTTTCCTCTTCCGGTGCCAACGGAAATATATTTCGCCTTAACTCGGTCGCCAGGGGCGGGTCCTTCTTTATGTTGCGTTTAGCCTCAGTTTCAAAAAGCTGCTTAACATGTTCATCCTCCAGTAAGGAATACAGTAAAGATGAACACGCACAGTGCTATATGTATGATCCAGGAAATCTTCCATGGCATAGCCAGGCTTTGTGAATGCCTCAGAAAAAATACGAGCCATAGTAGCTAAAGGCGCATGGTAATGGTTCCGGTGAGATACTAATTCCCAGAGGGAAGATGATAGCGCGTTGGTAAGGTATGGAGATGGCTCCTTCGCATCAAATGGATCTAGCCACCACATTATACATCAAACGACCACCCCGGTAAGTCTCGCTAAATACGCACCTGATTCAAAGTCATTTGCATCACGATGAATCATGACCATGCATGCTGGATGTCTCTTGAGCACGTTGTACGTAAATGGTATGATCATGATGATTGCTGCAGGTGGGGCAGAGAGGGAGAAGCGGGAAAGGCGCTTTACAAACGAGGCTAACAGCGTGGCAGGGAGGTGGCTAGAATGGCGTGAATCTTCTAAAATGGGAGATGGCGTGTGTTATATAATACCTGGAAGATAGGAACAGCTCTGCGAGCCGGAAGAATCGGGCGCGATGTTTGAGATGAAGCAGGTCACGCGTAAGGAAGGCATATAACCGTGTATAAAAATTAGGATAATCCCTAAGGTATAGCTGTGAGCAATGGCTTTCGGAATATGCATCCTGTCCTGTCTGCAGATGAATTGGACGCACAGATTATACTCTTGCATGAGCGTAAATAGTCCGTTAAGGGCCAACAAGCCGACTGACCCGCCTTCATCATGAGCCGTATCTCATCATTGAGGTTGACGGTGGATTAAGGAGACACGCTCACCGACATCAACGCAGCCTCCGATCCAGTCCATCAACCTTAGTGGCTTATTTAAATGCGGCATCACCCCACGATGCAAATATTTTAACGCCCGCGTCGACAGTGCCGTCGACGTGGAGAGATGTGGCAGAAGCGCCATCCAACATACAGTAAACTGCGCACGGTGAGAGGCAAGGGAGTGTAAACTTTGGTGTGCTGAGAGGCGGTAAACCCGCTGACTTTGACCTTTCCCAGACGGCGGGTTTGGAAGAGTAGTAGATGAAGTGTCGGGCGTATCAAAGAAAGTACGCCAATCGTCTTCCGTTTCAAGATCCTCGGCGTCATCTTGGGGAGGAGGCATTGAGAGCTTTTGGGGAGGAGATGCAAAGGCAGGAACCCAAAAATTGTTTACTTCAGAGGCATCAGTAGGCATAGTAGTGAGCCGCTCGAGGATGGTTAAGAGGTTTCCTGGAACATGGCTATTGGCAGGTGATAGTGATGAGCGAAGAATGGATCTAAGATGATGCGATCAGCCGGTCATAGTCACCCAGAGAAGTGAGGGAACATACGTAGACTCTCGAAGGAAAAACCACCGTATATCGTCATAGACACTTAACCAAGTGACCATGAAGTGCTCCCGGACGTCGGGGTCAAGCTTCCCATCACACACGTCAACAAGTAATAAGCCACAGACGATCTTACGAAAGTGCGAAACGTGGAGCTGTGGCTGTGAGGAAGACTGGGAGAACGATTCGGAGAGATGTTTTAAGACCGAGAAAAGTATGTCAAGTGCTGATGTCTGAGGCAAGGAGATGCAGTCAGTAAGTCCATGTCTGATCCGAAATTGTTGACTAGGCTACGCACTCTAATACCTTTCTGGGCATTCCTCAAGCATCCGCATAATACAGTTGTGTATTCTGTCAGCCTTTCATGCAGCCATGAGCGAACCACCTTGGCCTCTTCAGCTTCGCCGACGACACCACAAAGGCGATTAGCGTCTATGATGAGCACAAATACACGATAGAGAGCGTATATCGCTTTATGCAGGTCTTGTGGGTCGGTGAGCCTGGCGGCCAGACTTGTCAAGTCGGCTAAAGGATTGAGGGAAGCGGACTTCCGCAAAGCAGACACGAGAGTCTCTTCTAAACGTTCAATGTTAGCCACATTCGACGTTTTGCGCTTTTTGGTTGGAGGAAGGGAGGAATGAACAGGCATTGCAGACCTCTTTTTTTTTATTACGTAAGTCATGGAGTAAAATTTGGATTTGAACTGATTTTGGCCGGGCAGACCGAGAGTCTGGCTCTGACAGCTGGATCCGGACGTCTCAGGTACAACTCACCAACAGCAGCGGCCGAATACGTGGGTAGTGTCAAGTTCGTAGTGAATTACATGGGTATTTTTTATCATACATCAACAGCGCCGCTACATTAGTGGTATTCCAATTCAATGTTGTATGCCGCAATATAAACATGGACCGGACAAAACGAATACTAAGCCTTGAAATTAATTGGTAGAGGTTTAGATAAAACTATGACTATAATGGCGGAGGTTGCTGTGGAGGGATCGGCCGCGGAGGTAATGGTCTTGTTACTTCATTATAAATTAAGACTAATGAAGCCCAGTTTAAGTATGTGAATATTAATGTGAGGGATAAGAGACTACGTGCCTTTCAATTGGT